CCCGAGAGCCGACAGAGAAAAAGCCTGTCCCTAGAGCCGGTGCCCTGAATTCAGACTTCTAGCCTCTTAAACTGTGAGAAAATACATTTCTGTTTGTTAAGCCACCCACCCACCCACCAAATAATTGTGGTATTTCTGTTATAGCAACCCTAGATAAATAAGACAGGCCACTTGACAATTATACCCAGGTTCTGTATACAGTACCATGCCCTTCACATTATAGGATCAAACTTAGTAATTTAAAGATTCAGGATGAAAATAGTTACAAGTTAGATAATCATCCCAGAATCTTAGTGCTGAAAAGAACCTCAGCTCTACATTAACCCTCATTTTACAGATAAGGAAAATGAGGGCCAAGGGTAATGGTCAAAGTAAGAGGTGGTGTCAGGACTAGAAAGAATCAGTTCTTTATTGATTCTCAGTCCCAGGCTACTCCAATTTTTATATAATTTATCTTAAAACACGGTTAAGTTTAGAAAAAAATTTTAGGTGAGTTTTAAAAATGAGATAAAAACAGCATGAAAGCAGTATCAGAAACACTATCTGTAGATTCTCACTTTGCTTCATATAGTTTGAAAATAAGTATCAGAAATGTTAAAATGACCCCCCCGCCAAAAAAATTCCAAAATCTTTTTCTTAAACACAAGAACAACTGTCGCCTCTCGACTGTTACTTACGTTTCACTGGCAATGGAAAGCCTTCTGACTTTCTTCTTCAGGGCTTTTACTTTTTCCTGGGTTTCTTTTTTCTCTTGTTGCCATTTTTTAGTTTCTTTTTCCAAATCCTGGATGAACCACTCTAATTCCGTCTTTGAGACCTAAAGACATTTTAGAAAGTACTTAAATGAATGGCAAGATTTACTAAAAAAAAACAAAAAAACAAAACAAGCCTGAAAGGTTGAAGGGATAGAACTGGGATGGCGTAACAGAGGAAATGACTGGAGTTCAGTGAGGCACTTAGTGAGCTGCACTCTGGGCCAGGCTGTGCTCCCACCGCTAAGCCTGGGATAAGACGCGCGATACATGGCCTCTGCCCTCGGGAATGAGCATGGAGGGGAGGCAGTCATGTCCCCAAACAAGAACAAACAGAGGGATACCAGACCATCTGGGAGTCGGGAAGGGCTTCTCAAATAGGTGATTTTCTTTTCTACTTGATTTAACTTTTTTTGTTGTTGTTGTTACTTGATCTCAGTCTTCAAAGATGACTCTGCCACATGGAGAATGGGGTCCAAGCAGTGGGAACAGAAAGGTAGAAGGAGAAAAGAGTAAGGTATGTTTGGACAAGAGGTGCTACGTGGCTGGAGCACAAGGCATTAAGAATGGAAGACAGGGCAAGGAGAAGAGCAGATGAGACGGCTTGGGAGCAAGTTGTGAAGGGCCTAAGCTATGCTAAGGAATGTGGACTCTCTCCTGCATACAAAAGGGAGCCGGCAGCCACTGAAGGATCCTAAGCAAGGCAACGAGGTGATTAGACTTTTATTTTTGAAAGATAACTCTGAAAGTTAGTTTTCAGATTACGGGTGGATGGGAGGATACAATGAAATGTTAGGCCAGAGCAAGGGCCTTCACATTTTCCTGGGACCCACAATAACAAACACATTTTAATAACGACCCATAAAATGTGTACATATATACACACACGTGTACATATATGTATGTATATACATGTATATCTGTGCACACACACATATAACTAAAAACAAATTTGGCCTTACTTTCTGAGATACATTCTGATATTTCTATTCTATTCTAAAAAAATAATTCTGGTCACCATCATAAAACTGATTTCATAGGCCAATTATAGATCACAACCCTCAATTTAGAAAACTCTAGATTAGAGGAAGGGAAGATCTTCTAAAAGCACACTGCAACAGTCCAGGTCAGAGACAATGAGGATGCTGGTGGTAATAGTAGGGATGATAAAGAAAGGAAATCTTTAGAAGAGAATCGGTATGTGCCCAGTTGGATATCCGATGCAAAACAGAGACTGACATAAGTTGTGATAAATTTCTACCTAGGAGGAATAACTAAGCAAAAATCCCATTAACAAAAAGAGAGCAGTAAGGAAGGTCTACCAGGGTGCCATGAATCAGAATCAACTTGAAGGTAGTGGGTTACTAAGTTGGGGAGGCAAGGGGAGGAAAAGAGACAGGGAAACTGGCCTAGATATGGATGTTTAAATAAAGGAAATCCATGAATGAACAAAATACATATAGGAACTCAGTTTGGACCTTGCAATCATTTTTTGAAAGGAACAGAGCAGAAATTTCCAAGTGTTTCAGAAAGACTACAAATCAAAGGCATAAAAAAAAAAAAACTGTATTAAGAATGATGTAATTATAAGCCATACTCGTTTACACATTATAGGTGCTTCTGAACAGGCAAAACTTTATTTACCTTATACAAATTAGCACACCATCAAGTCTTTTCCAATACGGGCAGCTCCCACCCTATTAATGAATTACAATCCAAAAGTTCATTTACAAGTTAGTTGGTTGTAACTTGCAATATGTCTCCTCACAAAAAACCATGTTTGAAACCCACAAGGGCCTATTTAACCAGAATATGTCTGAAATGTAGAAGAGACAGTCTT